CAGTTCTAACAGGCAGGTAGGAAAACTGCCAGGTAGTCATCGTAAAGAATCTGGCTGTCCACCTCCAGGGCCGCACCAGCCAGCCTCAGCCACCTCAGGCTCCGCTCACTGCCAATTCCACATATATGTTTTAAAAGGAAAAAAAATATCAAACAGTACAAAAAGGAACACAAGGAAAAGTAAGTCTCTTCCCATCACTACCACTGAAAAAATCACTTTACCTGTTTTTTGTGTTTTCATCTACTATATATATTTGTATTTATATTTATTTATGTATTAGTTTTACTGAGATAAAATTGACATATAACACTGTGTAAGCTTAACAAGTACGCATTGATTTGATGCTTACATATTGTGTAGTGATTACCATAGTAGCATTAGCAAACACCTCCATCACCTCACATAATTACCATTTGTTTTTTTGTGGTGAGAACATTTAAGATCTAGTCTCTCAGCAACTTTAGAGATTATTGTTAACTATAATCACCATGCTGTATATTAGATCCTCAGAACTTAAAACCGGGTGTTTGTACCCTTTGACAACATCTCCCCATATCCCCTACCCTCTGGCATCCACCATTCTACTCTCTGTTTCTAGGAGTTCACCTATGAATTTAGATTCTGCAGATTAAGTGACAAGTCACAAGTGGCATGTTATGACTGAATATATATCTATATTCTATATAGATATTCTATATATTCTCTCTCTATACGTCTGTATTCTCATATATAGATACCTGTATCTATATATGTCTCACAACTTCTTTATCCAGTCATCTGTTGATGGACACTTAGGTTGTTTCCATATCTTGGCTACAGTAAATACAGTTCATGCAGTTAACATAGGAGTGCAGATAGTTCTTTTCTTTGTTTTCATTTCTTTTGGATATACACCCAGAAGTGAGATTGCTGGATAATATGGCAGTTCTATTTTTAATTTTTTTAAGTTAGTTTGAGAGAGAGAGCGAGAGCGCAAGTGGTGGGGGAGGAGGGGCAGAGGGAGAGGGAGAGAAAGTCACAAGCAGACTTCCCGCTGAGCACAGAGCCCGACATGGGGCTCGATCTCAGGATCCCGAGATCAGGAACCGAGTAGAAATTAAGAGTTGGATGCTTACCAACTGTGCCATCTAGGTTCCCCTGTTTTTAATTTTTTGTGGAAACACTAGACTATTTTCCATAGTGGCTGTACAAATTTACATTCCCCCCCATGGTGCACAAGGTTTCCCTTTTCTCCACATCCTTGCCAACACTGATTATTTCTTGTATTTTTGATGGGAGTCATTCTAACAGGTGTGAGGTGATATTTCATGGTGGGTTTGATTTTCATTTTCCTCATGATTGGTTATGTTGAGCATCTTTTCACGTTATCTGTTAGCCATTTGTGGAAAAATATCTATTCATATCTTCTGCCCATTTTTTTAAAAGATTTTATTTATTTGAGAGAGAATGAGAGCGAGAGAGAGCATGGGGTGGGAGAGGGTCAGAGGGAGAAGCAGACCCCCGGCTCAGCAGGGAGCCCGACTTGGAATTCCATCCCGGGACTCCAGGATCATGGCCTGAGCTGAAGGCAGTTGCTTAACCGACTGAGCCACCCAGGTGCCCCATCTCTATGTTTTTTTATAGGAGTTTAATGGTTTTGGGTCTTAAGTCTTTAATCCATTTTAAGTTAATTTTTGTGAGTAGTGTAAAACAGGGATCCAATTTTATTTTTTCTGGATGTGATTATCCAGTTTTCCCAACACCATTCATTGAAGAGACCATCCTTTCCCCATTGAGTATTCTTGGCTTATTTTGTCAAATATTAGTTGACCATATATGTGAGGGTTTATTTCTGAGCACTCTATTCTGTTCCATTGGTCTATTTTTATGCAAATACCATACTGTTTTGATTACTATAGCTTTGTAGTATAGCTTGAAATCTGGGATTCTGCCAGCTTTTTTTTTTTTCCCTCAAGATTGCTTTGGCTATTCAGAGTCTTGTGGTTTCATATGAATTTTAGGATTGTTTTTACAATTTCTGTGAAGAATGCCATTGGAACTTCAGTAGGGATTGTACTGAATCTCTAAATGGCTTAGGGTTGTATGGACATTTTAATGATATTAATTCTTCTCATCCACAAACACGGGATATCTTTCCATTTATTTGTGTCTTCTTTAATTTCTTTCATTTAAGCCTTATAATTTTCAATGCAAAGATCTTTCATCTCCTTGGTTAAATTTATTCCTAAGAATTTCATTGCTTTTGATGCTATTGTGAATGGAGTTGTTTTATTTCTTTTGCAGATATTTTGTTGTCATTCTATAGAAATGCAACTGAGTTTTGTATGTTGATTTTGTATCCTGCAACTGTACTGAATTTGTTGATTAGTTCTAACAGGTTTTTTTTTTTTTTTTGGTGGAATTTTTAGGATTTTCTATGTACAAGATAATATCATCTGCAAACAAGACAATTTTACTTCTTCTTTCCCAATTTGGATGCCTTTTATTTATTTTTCTTGCCTAGTTGCTCTGGCTAGGACATCCAGTGTTATGTTGAATAGGAGTGCTGAAAGTGGGCACCATGGGCTTGTTTCTGATCTTAGAGGAAAAGCTTTCAACCTTTTGCAGTTAAGTATGATGTTAGCCAGAAGTTTGTTATATATGGCCTTTATTATGTGGAGGTATGTTCCTGCTGTACCCAAGTTGTTGAGAGTATTTAATCATGAAAAGATGTTGTACTTCATCAAATGACTTTTATCTTTTTTTTATTTTTTATTTTTTAAAGATTTTATTTATTTGAGAGAGCGAGAATGAGAGAGAGAGAGCACATGAGAAGGGGGAGGGTCAGAGGGAGAAGCAGACTCCCCGCTGAGCAGGGAGCCCGATGCAGGACTCGATCCCGGGACTCCAGGATCATGACCTGAGCCGAAGGCAGTCGCTTAACCAACTGAGCCGCCCAGGCATCCCTTATCTTTTTTTAAAAAAGTCTTTCTTTTAATCATTTTTTTTAAAGATATTTATTTATTTATTTGACAGAGAGAGACACAGTGAGAGAGGGAACACAAGCAGGGGGAGTTGGAGGGGGAGAAGCAGTCTTCCCGACAAGCAGGGAGCCCGATGCAGGGCTCAATCCCAGGACCCCGGGAACCATGACCTGAGCCAAAGGCAGACGCTTAACAACTGAGCCACCCAGGTGCTCCTGCTTTATCTTTTTTTATGTCATAATTGAGGGAAAGTAAAAGTATGCACACACACACGCACAAAGAAATTCATGCCACCCAAAGATAATTGCTTTGTGAAGATTTTGGTGTAGGACTTTCAGTCTTTTCCCCCAATATTTCCAGACCTTACCTAGGATCCAACAACTAAGATATCATCAGGTAGGATAATCCAGAGCCTTACTCTAGAACTATGGCTGGCATTCCTTCTGTTTACTACCTCTTTTTATTTTATTTTTTATTTTTAAAAGATTTTATTTAAGTAATCTCTACACCCAATATGGGGCTTGAACTCACAACCCCAAGATCAAGAGTCACATGCTCCACCAACTTAGCCAGCTAGGTGACCCTTTTAATTTTTTTAAA